TAATAATAATAACAACAACAACAACTTACCTCCTCATGTCTTTTTAATGGTTATGAATTAAATTAAGTATTTTTTTATAATTTTGAGGTACAATTATATGAGAAATATTATCTATTACCATGATCTGAGGAGATCTTTTACATATTAATTTTTTATTTAATTTTTTAGTTGGTTTATATTAGATTAGATTTATTTAAGATTTGATTTAGATTAGGTTTACATTAATTTTATTTTTAAAAAAAATTGTCTTGAAGGAACCCTCAACGTTTTAGATTTATCTCACTTAGAAAACATATCACTTCAAGAACTGTTGATTTAAAATATTTAGCCACGTAGAGGGAGAAAGAAAATGAATAATTTCAACCCTCATTCACCAAAACAGTTATACTAACTAGAGATTAAGGAATTTCACTTTAACGGTCACCCCAATTGCTTCTTAGCATCGCCCATTATTTTTAAAAATTTTCTCGTTAATTTTTCAAATTTCCCTATTGGCAAAGTAAGAAGAAATAATTTTTCAGATTTACTGTAGATTTACAACTTTGCTTGATAATTATTATTTGATTTTAATAAATACGTTAAATTTTAGAAATTGTTCATTTGGTTTTCTTTTTGGGATAAAGAATAAAAATTTTATACAGATCATATATTAATCTCAAAATATTAATACTAAATGTGAGCAGTACAAACTAAATATTACTAGAACAGCCTTCTTACTATAGATTAAGGAATTTCGCATTTAAAAGCCATCTCAATTACTTCCAAGTATGGCGCATTGTTACTGAAAATTTTCTAGTTAATTTTTCAAATTCTTTCATTGAGGAAGAAAAAAGAAAGAATTTTTTTCAAATCTATTATAGATTTGTAGATTTAAAGAAAGAATTTTTCAGATTTGTTATGATTTATAGCTTTGTCTAATATTTATTATTTAATTTAATAAATCCCTTTAAATTTTGAAAATTATTCAATGGTCTTCTTTCTGAGACCAAGAATAAAAATTCTATGCTGATCACACCATTCCATATTTAAGAAGATTTTAGTTATATTCATTACTCAAGTTAATTAAATATAATAAAAACACCTGTTTACATAATAAAAACACCATGAATATTAATATTTACTACGCCTTTAAATAATTTTTATGTCACATATTATGCTCTCTCTCTCTCTCTATATATATATACATATGTTGGTAAGGTACTTAGTAAAAAAAATTATTTAAATTATAAAAAATTGTAATAGTAATAATTAACAAATGATACTTCAAAAATTATCTCTCTACTAATTTATTTATTCAATACTGTTGTTAAAGTCATTACTTTTCTCTCTAACAAATAGACATAGAATCCACACATATCCATAAATATAATAATGAGATATGATAGCAGTGCCAACAAAGAATTTTCAGCTTACCTTATCCTGAGCTGCAGAGAATTCAAATTTAAATTTAAAGACAAAGTGAGAAAAAGTAGAAGTGACCTTTTTGCTTGTATTTAAAGGGACACTCACCCAACCCCTTCCCTTTCCCCAGCCCCACAAATGCAGCAAGTACCTCCTTCAAGTCCTTAGCCCCTAGCCGAACCTGGTTCCCACATCGTTCTAGGATTCTAATCGTAGTTGGTTTCATCTTTTCTGACGTCATGCCTATATTTGAAGTGTACCTAAAATTTTAAAAATGATCTTCAATTGAACCCCACAACTCTTTGATTCTAAAAGCTCAAAGTTACACTCAGAGTGCCACAAGTATCTGAAAATCCTACACGAAATTAAGCTTATTACATGGGATGCTTGCTTCACCCCGTGTGTACATATTCAATTAAGCTTATTACATGGGATGCTTGCTTCACCCCCTGTGTGTACATATTGAGTTCGATTCTATTTTATTTTGAACATTATTTTAATCTAATCGAATATATCAATTTTTAATAAATTTAAAATTATTAATTTTCAAAATACTTTAAAATTGAATCAAATTAAATATGATTATGTCAATTTAGTTTGGCTTGGCATGATTTGTTTTGAAGATATTTTTAAAATAAAAATTTATTAAATTCTATTCATTGAATAAAAAAATGTTCATTGAAGATACTATAAAAGTATTCTAGTTTTTAATAATACTAAAACTTTTAATATTAAATATTCTAAATATAATTACAAATTCCATGAGGTAGTACCTAAGAATAAGGATTTAAGTAGGGTTTTGTTTTTTTTAAAAAAAAAAATATATATATATATATATAGCATTATTAAATAGATATTACATCTATTAAATAATATATTATATGTCATATTTAATATTATATATATTAAATAAAATAAAATTATATATTTACTTGATTTGACGTGGTTCGATTATTTTTTTAGAGAATCAACAATCGACCTAAATTGATCAATTTTAATATTGTAAAAGCCAAAATAAATCGATTTGTTTCAATTTTGACCAATTTTTGATTGGTCCAATCGATTTGACTGGTCCAATCGATTTGGATTATTTTTGAATGCCCTTACTTGCTTGGCTGTAAAAAAAAAAAAAAAATCAATCAAGTAAAGAAATTTTAATTTTCGGTAAAAAAATTTAAAATAAAGAAAGTTTTCTTTTGAAAGAAAAAAATTTCAAAAATTTTAAAAATTAAAAATGTTTAATGTAAAGAATTTTTTGTTCTTTGCATTGCTGAGAAGTTTAGACATCTCCACTTAGGGCGCTAAAAGCTCTTGCTAACTCTTGCTGGACCAATGTTGAATTGCCCCACGTTTTGCAATCTGCTTGAGGCAAAAAGTTGTTTTGTTGTGTTTTACTTTCGACATCTAGGGCTGTGATTTAGAGGTGAGGAACCGTATGAGGGGACTTTATATCTCTAGTGCAGTGTAAAAATGCCACATATAAAAGGATGGGTCCAAGTGTATGGACCTCTTTGGTTTTCAAGTTTTGGAAGAAAGATAAATTTTTGACTTTTTTATTTATAAATAAGCTTACATTTGAAATTTTGAACTTTGACATTTTTGAATTTCTAAGTTTCAATTTTTTTTAGTCTCTCAACATGAAAAAAATTTAAAATGTAACAAAACCTTAAAAAATAAACTTTCTTACGGTATGCCTTTACTAGTTCTTTGAGATTATTTTGAATTTTTTTCTTTTTTCATTTTTAGTTTAATATTAAAATGAAATGTAATATTCCATTTTACGTTAGTTTAATATCTAAAATTTTTAAAAATTACTACTAAATAACTTGAATTTAAACATTTTAAACAATTAGTTCAAACTTAATAAATTGTTAAAATTAATAACCTCGTGTTGTTACAAAATAGTATCAAAACAAATAATACCCAAATCTGTTCGATTTGGATATAAACATAAATATGTGACTATGATCAGTGGTTCTTGCATTATTACAAAATGGTAGCAAAGTAAAGGATACTCAGATCTATTTTATTTAAATATAAACACGAATACGTGACTTGACAATAATATTAAATACTTAAATAGGAAAGATTGTGATATTTTATATAATATCAATTTTGGATAGTGATATTATGTATAATATATAAAATTTTTAAAAATTATTAATTAATAACTTAATTTTAAATATTTTGAATAAATAATTTAAACTTAATAAATTATTAAGATGATTAATTACTTGGTTATTACATGGCACAAGAAAGTATACCCCATGTCACATAAATCAATTTTTTATAATAAATAAATAAAACAACAACTCGAAAGGTTAGCAAACATACAGTGCCAAGACTCACACAAGGAGGATGACAGGTGAAAATGAGTGCCAGGATTCACACAAGGAGGATGACAGGTGAAAATGAGGAGTGAGAGAGAGAGGAGAGGAGAGAGAAAAAGAGAACGGAATGATGGTTGGGGAAGAAGGCGTGGAGGATTTTAAATAGTTTCTTAACTTCTGCTGGCACCTGGTTGCAGTACTGGGACCGTGAATGAAGTATATTTATCATACACTGGGACCAGCGCATTTAGAGAGTGAAAGAAAAGAAAAGCACGAAGATTTTTGTTTTCGTTTTCTAAAGTTAGTGGATCTGTTTTCTGAAATTTTCCAAAAACCAATTATTGAAAACATCCCATCAAACAGATTTCTAGGGAAAAAAAAACCCAAATAAATTTCTTCTTCTGCTTTTATTTCTGAAGTGAATGGATACTGTATCCATTAAATTGGGACTACACGTGGGATAAATTTCATTCTTTTAGTACCTCTTCGGTAAATAAAATTAGATAAGGGTTGATAGAGAAATACCATTTTATCTTCACAGTAATTTTAATTTTTATTTTATGCCTAATAATTTTTAAGCTATTAAACGAAATATCATAAGATATATATGATTTTACTAAAATATCATTATTTTTCAGGAACAACCACACTACATAATTTGAAAAATAAAGATAATAACAATATAAAAAGTAGTAAATTTCAATAATAACAGTAATTATTAATAATTGTCACAGTCAAATGCAGCAACTACTGACTGTATACTTTGGTAAATCTTCGTACCGAGAAAATAAATAAATAAATAAATTCTTTGTCAATCTCTCTAACGGTGCAATTTCTTGGGCAAGTACTCATTCATCTACCATCCAATTTAAACCTAGCAACTAGAAAAGAAGATTGTTTTCAATTTTAAAATGAACACACCATATATCTTACAAAAGATAGGAGAATACAAGGAAGAATGAAAGGAAGAAAAGTGTAAAGAAAATTCAAAGTAGTGACCTTTTTAATTAGTTACAAACTTGTTTAGTGGGGAGGGGGAAGGGGAAGGGGAGGGGGAGGGGTAGGTGTGCGCTTGCCTAAATCATCAAATGACAACAAATGCTAAAACCTAATTGAGCAAACAAGAAAATAAAAATCTTAGATACAAACAAGCCCAAAACAAGTACCATAAATAAAAATTGGAAAGGCTCCTTCTTCCTTAAATACATCGATCGACCAAGCAAAACCCTAATCGGTTATCTTCGAATTCAGAAATTCGCGTATCGAAACTCAACGTGTTGTTTCTATGCACTTGCTCAACTCCTCGAGCTTCTTCATCCTCAACCTCTCGCTTTCGCTTACCAGCTAATAATTGAACAATTTATTACCCAGCAATCAGAAGAAAGAATCCAATAAACACATTGAATTATAAGCTTTGTAGCAAAAAAGGAATTTAAATTTTGTCACAAAAAAGAATCATTAAACAAAATTGACTTGGCCATTTGGTACTAACCTCCATCAATCTAGTAATTAGCTGCACCTTCTCTTTGTTCTTCTCATTAAAAGCCTCGAGTGCTTCTTTGTACTCTTTCTCCTACGATGAATAGAAGCCCCAAAATGAAAAGTTAAATTGAACTTCTCTCATAATTTTAACCAACCAAAGTAGCTACACTCTTCTAGATCGTAAATGTGAAATTTAACTTAGTAAAATTCATTTTAAACTTTAAAAATTAAGTTGCTGGTTCTGAATGCTTTTACCTTCTTCTGGCAACTCTGCCCTAGTGGCTTCAACTCCTTGTTCACAGTATCGATCTTTTTACGGACAGCTGAGACTTCCTTCTTCATTGGATCCGCGAGCGCCTCAAGCTCCTGAATTTTTATTTTTTTTTTGGGTTTTGAAAAGTCAAATGATCGAAAGCAATTGACAAGCATTGATTCATACAAATACCTAACACCACTTTGACGTTTTTAAATTGATTATTAGTAGCCAACCAAACTGGGTTGTGATGGTTTTGAGATGTATTAACAAAATAGCCTAATTCATTTATGATCAAACGGTTGGTTATGTAGTTAACTCTCTCATGAAGCTATTAATAAATTGCCATAACAACAACAACAATAAAGAGATTATTCCCTAATCAATCTCTCAAGTTTGATGGAATTCATCGACAAAAAGGAAAAAAGAAAAGGTATGAATTGCTCCAACTTTTTTGATTTTCGTGTTCAAAATTCTTTGCTAAGTTGTTTCAAATTTCCACCATAAAACTCGAAGTCAAGAAATGAAAAAGTTGAAAGTGACTAATTATCATCCCACAAGTGTATCTCTTCATTTTTTGGAGATGATGATTGTATCATATACACACATGTATACATATATATTTGCATCCTAACATGATTAATAATACAAACTTTAATCTGCCTTTCCCCAAATTCTCCTTTAATTCAGACCTAATCCTAGACATAAAACCTATATATCAAGATTCTGATTAATTCTATTGTACATAAGTAGTCCCTCAAATGAAATAATTTCATTATTTTTCGCCGGCTTAAGTTTTGTAAATAAACAACAATCTCTTGTTCACCGTAAACCATGGTTGAATTCACCGTAAACACAAAACAAAGTCATCATAACTTGATTTAGTATTAGATTTATGATATAGCTGAATTGAGTAATTTCTTATATTTTCTCTCTAATACAGACATACCTCGCGTATAAAAGCTAGGCGTTTGGTTTCTTCTTCGATGCGTCCAAGATGGAGCTGAACCCTCTCCTTGACCTCCATCTTCTTCTTCTCAATCTCTTCTTCCTTGGCCCGAAAAGTCGAGAGGGCTGATTTCGACATTTCATCATCTTCTTTGGTGCTTAAAGTACTGCTTGTGAAGCTTAGGCTTCCTGAGATTTGCCCTGCTTGCATGAGAGCTTGTTGCTCGTTGGCCTGCCTCTGTGTCTGCGTCATCTCTCTCTTTCTCTCTCTCCTCGGAAACCCTTCTTCTTCCTTGAGTTCGTCTCTTTATCTTCTCTCTCTTCTTATTTTCTTCTCTCTCTCTCTCTCTCTCTAGCTTTTGCTTTTGCTTTGGAATGATGGGTTGGTTCTATTTCATTCTACTGTTGCTGGTGCTTATGAACAAGGCTGGCCTTAATGCTTAAAGTTTCTCAAGCCAGCTTAGCTTTCCGTCATGACCCGTGACCCACAGAAGAAAAAGAGGGGGCCAATTACACCTTGTAGTCCCGTAGTTTTATCTAAATTAAATTTTGGTCCTCGTAATTTCGAATTTTATACTTTTCGTTCGAGATTTTAGAAGTGTAATTCATTTCATTTCAGGTAGTATTTGGGATAAAAATCCTTTTTTTCCCAATTAGCTAGCTAGCCAACTTAAGATCGCATGTGCAACAATAAATTTTCCATGTAAAAACGTTAGAATTTTTATTTAAAGGGTTAAGTGGAAATTAAATATGTTACACTTTAAAATTAGGGGAGTAAATGTGTTATATCTAAAATTATGAGGATGAAAATGGAATCCAAAAATGAACTTTATATGGGAACCAAAATATGAAATAGAAGGAAATAGAAACAAATGCATATATATGTATGTATGCATGCAAGGAAATACTTCAACTTACATAACCATGGCGTCTTTAATATTAAAGATTCTTTAGAATTGTTAAACATAATTTTTTAAGAAAATTATCTTAAGAAATATTTGTTTAAATATTTTTACAAAATACTTTTAGGACGTCAAATAGGCACCCCACAAGTGAGATATAGAAATTTTACCTCACTATATATATATATATATACACACATACACAGTATATGTCATCCACATATATATTTATCTATATGTATGTATATATATGCAGATAAATATATGAGAACTTGTTGATGGGTGCACATGGATTGACCTGTCATTATAAAGATGGTTATTTTCTTAAGTTGTTGCGAGGACCATTTCAACTAACATTCCTCCTCCTTCCACATGGGGTGGTTGACGTGGCCATATAATTATGTTCATGGTGCATATACAACACGCAAATATATATATATATATACATACATACATATGTATACACACAGTAGTCTTGGTATTGTACTATACACAGAATTTTAAATGAAATTGTAATTTACATGAAATACTAATTATATATATACAAATCTAGATATGGTATATGTAAATTTAATGTCATAAAAAATATATACCACATCATTCAATCGGGATAATGATTAGAATTAAAAAATAATAATTTTATAAATTAAAAAATTATAAAAAATTTACTAAATTTAACATGCATATGTGAGCCCGCCTGCGCACACACATCTTTGTGTGTGTGTGTATAATGAATCTATATCCTCACTAGTTGGTTTCGTAACGCTACAGTCCTGTCGGCCGAAAACAGGACAGCAGCTTAGGACATGTCATTCGCGTAAATGACTGCACAATTTTTACCATAGTGTTCAAAAAAAAAAAAATGAAATGATAAACTGCACTTTCATCCCTATAATTCCATTTAATTCCAAAATTCTTATAAAAATAGTGTATGAAAATTTGTCAATAATTTTGTGAACAGCATACTCATTTTATATATAAAACTCTTAATTTCTATACACAAAACACCATAATATAATATGATATTTTTATAATTATTGTAAAAAAAAATTATATTTCTTAATTATGATGAGTCCCGAATTTATAAAGAAATTTCCATTAACAAACGAATTTAGAAAAAAAAAATTAAAGTTTTTTTAATATCCCTTCACCATTTTTCAGTATAAAATTATTTATATAAAAAAATTTTAAGAGTTATAACTAAATAATTTGAGATCAAGTATTTTAAATTAATAATTTAAATTGAACAAATTAGGATGAGTAATTTTTCAGTGATTACAGTTTTATGTAAAAAATTAATCACAGATAAAGATATGATATTTTTAAGAAATTTGAATTACATATGTTAGCATTGATATTACGAATGAAATTTGAATATGTAAAATTATAATTAGCCAAAATAAAAAATTAAGAAAACGAAACGTCAGAGCTATTGGGACATGAACCTTGTAATTATGTTTAAGGAACCAGTTTATGGGTTACACTTTTCTCTTTACATTTTGTTTCTTTATAACGGATTCTTCTATTGTTTAATTCAAAATGTTGATGAGAGAGAGAGAGAGAGAGAGAGAAGAAAGGTGCTTAAGGAAGAAGTTAGGCGTGGAGTGGGCAGAAGGGGGAAGTAACCCACCTGCGAATAATAAAGCCATAACACAAGCAACTTTTTTTTAAGCAAAAGCCGTAAGGGCCAAGCAGAGTAGGAAAGTGGGCAGCTGTTACAGCTTAGCTACCTTTATTATATATATATATATATATATTCCGCATTTTTAATTAATTAACTTCAAAGGAAGCGTCTCCTCTTTACATGCATATATATGTAATTTTCATTGTACCCAAAAGAAAATAATTAAAGGAAAAGAAACACAGATGTGTGTGTGTGTGTATCCCAGCTGTTCAGATAATGTTTTCCTTCCTTTCGGTTTGAAAGCAATAGAAAGAAATTTCATCAATCATTTTTTAAAACTTCGGAAACAATTCTTATGGCCTCTAATTAAAAGGGATTAAAAATTTTCTTAAAAAATAATATACCAAAATGTTTTCAATTATTTTCCCTCTTTACAAGCCGAAAAAAAACCTTCTTCTCAAATTTGTGTGAAATTTGTATTGATAATAAAATATTTTAAAATTTTATTAAAATTATAAATATTTTATTTATAATAAAAGTAATATTAATTATTTAAAATTTATATTTGACAAGTTTTTATTGAGTCATGTCTTATTATAATTATATTTTTCTCACTAAATTTAAATCTTATTCACTTCCACTTGATCTTAAACAAAGAAAGAAAGAAAGAAAATAAGGCTAAACAAAAAAAAAAAAATATTGAGGGGTAAAATTTTCAGATTTCTTTTTTGTTTTCCTTTAATTTTGAAAATATTTTATTTTATTTTATTTTTATTTTGTTGGTATGATTGAGTCAAGCTATGCTTTTAGCCTTTTACTTTAAATATTCTAAACCAAAATACAAGTTAATGGGCTCGTCGCTTTTATTTTATTTTTTCTTTTTTTCTTTATGTGGGGACCTTTTCGGCACTGGACCTATTCAAAAAGTTCGTGCACGCTTTAGTTTACAGTTTACCGGCTCAACGATCCAACGGTCCTGATCGTGCCATCAGATTGATTTTTCTCGAAGAATCTATGGTGGTGGGGCCATCACATGGTGGGTGTTCAATACTCGTAATGTAATGACATCCCCCGGCGTGCTACAGAATTAATTCCACTGATTAAAAGCTTTGGAGACGTTAAGTTTTACCTAATGGGAAAGCGTGACCACTTATGAAGGCCCCAAGAAACAGTTGGCAACCGAGTTGCTAGAACCGGTCCAAATATTAAACCGGTTAAGGGATTGATTCAACAGTTTACTGGTTTAATGATAATTCAATTCTGGTTTAATTGGATTTATAATTAAATAATAGTGTAACTTATATAATATTAAATATAAAAAATATAGATAATTTTTTGAAATTTAAAAATATGGCACATAGTTGATTGTAGCATTGTTGTTTCAAATTCTCTACATTGTTAAAAAATAGAAGTTTAGTTCTTAGAAACTCTACTTTTAATCATTTATTTTTTTTAATTTATTTAATCTGAAATTATATATTATATAATTTTAAAAATTATTTTTAAATAATTTAAATTTAAATATTTGAATAAAAAGTTCAAATTCAATCAATTAATATAGTTAATATGTAGTACTTTAAAGTTATCCTATTTACAAAAATTCATCAAATATGGTGAGTGTTACCTCATTATAAAAACTCAAACACATGATCTTGATATTATTATTTATAATTATAAGTATATTATTAGCTTATACTATTATATGATTAACCCACTATACGTAGCTATTACATTACATTGTCCATTTGAATTACTTTTACTGGCGTCTTCAAGCTTATTTATTTTCTTCTCAATGGCTTATTAGCAAATTCTTCCAAAAGTATCCGCAGCCCAAAATTTGTACGTTTCTGATCTTGCTTTTATTTTTTTCCCTCCCTTTCTTTTTGGTATGGATAATCTTTATCAGTTGCACCAACCCAATAAAACAAAAAGGTGCTTCTTACTATATTTTCAATGGGAAATGATGTTTATTATAATATGTTGCACGACAGAATTAGATTTAATTAAAATAAGATCCTATTGGAATATCCCACGATAGTTGTAAAAAGTTTAGAAACGAGTGTATATGTTGTGGTAAAAAACCCATTTTATGTGTTAATTTTATAATAGCAATTTATTTGATATTATACTCTAACACATTTTATTAAAAATACCAAAATTCATTTAATCAGTATCAAAATTAATATATGATATTAATATAATTTTGAAATAATTCAATATTATTAAGAATTTTGACTCACTAAATTAAAATCTAAATTTCAAATTTATATGATAGTTAAAAATGTTGAAAATCATCTGTCAATTGTATAGAGTAAAATACTAAAATTTATGTCGCATTGACGAAACAGAATAAACTATCGTACCGACAAAAGCACATAAAAAAGTTGCTCCCTTCTTCGATTGCCAATTCCAACCGATACAAATATCCAACCAAGGCAAATCGAAGGGAGAAGAATGGGGAGATTTGAAATAAATGAAAGTTGTTTAGTTAACAAAGT